CGCAGCAATCCTAGCAATTTAACAGTGACGGCTCAAGAACTTCTGCTCTCTCTCAGAATCTGTTTCAGCTCTCTCTTTATGATGAGAATAGGTTTAGAGAACGTGGCTGATAGAGCAGGGCCTTAAGCTTATATAGGGCTAGGTCAAGTCGTCTCTACTCATCACCGAGGGCCGACTTGACTAATCTTCCAAGCCCACTTAATCGGTTCACGCAAAAAGGAAATAAAATAGGACTCCTTAATAGGCCTTAAAACCTTTCCTTATTTCACAAGGTTTTGGGCCTCAAGGTACAACTTAATTTAAACCCTTATCAAACCTGATGTGACTTAGTATCTAGTGCACTGATCTAAATAGGAAAACATAACATTGCATGGAGCCCAATTTCACATAGGCTAGTTAGAGGTGTACGGGGAGCGGCAACTAGGGCTATGGCGGCAGCCGTGGTGCCGCAAGGTTGAGCCACGATTTTGGCTGTAGAAAGTGGCAACTGCCTCAAAGCTGCGGCATTGTGGTGACCAGGATCAGTCGCATATTGGGTTGCTATGGTGGCCCAGCTTCTAGTTCGCATGCTTCCAACCATGGTTTTTTGGAAGGCTTCGATTGAGTGATGAATACTTGGAAACATATTCCTTTGATTCAAGAACACGTGTTGAGTATAACTTGTGTTCTCAATGGAAGCACCAAAATGTTTGAGAAAAATTCCGCATGAGGAATATTCACGAGTTGATTCCTCGATTTTTGATCTTCCTTCTCTCTCTTCCTTGATCCCTGTGAAATAAATAGGAGTAAATAGACCACACCCACTTGGATGCCTAAGTTAGTTCAATTGGATTTTGATAAAGATACGACAATAGCTAAAATGGATGGAGTTTTCTCTCATGGGGAGAGCCAGGTGTGTTGTGGTGCTTAGCCATGTGAGGAGTGAGAGTGAGAAGGGCGGCGAGAGAGAGAGTGAGAGTGAGTGAGGAATTTGTGTAGGGTTTTTCGAGTGAGAAAAAGTTACCTTGAATGTCTTGTGTATCCATGTTTTTATAAGCTCCTTGTGTACTAGGGTTTGAAGAATAATTCTTATTTGGTTAGGATTATTCTTACCCATAAATAGGAGATTGGAATTAATCAAGGTGATTTGATGGAAATCTCATCCTTAATTTGGGGAGATATTCTCATCTTAAATCAAAGATAATTTCCCTAATTAAATATGATTTAATTAAAATAATCAGTTAGCTTAAAGAATATTCATTTTCTATGTGTCACTCATCTATTACTTGCTGAAAGATGTGTTCCCACAATAAGTACGCTAGTACACCCAATTTCTACCTTAGATGCAAAGAAGGGAAGTTTAGTCACCTACAACATGAATGTGTACCTTGTTAAATATTTATATATCCACTTCACAAGATGGTGTATAAAATATTGCTCCTTATAATTTTCCTTTATTTAGACTAACCCATCACATGTTTCTCACGTGTCATGAGGCATATGTACATATGATTATTGCCACTCTTTGAAGTAGGCTTGAAGGCAAATCATGTGAAAATAGATAATACCAAGGCAAACTGATAGGTGGGCAGAACAAAATCATGTAGTCACATGTTTTATGTTTTCCTCTCTGTGTTCAATTCCAAAGTTGATTATTGATTTGAGTATTACATTTCTATTTAAATGTGATTGGAAGTGACAAGTGAGTGAGAAAGAAAGACTGCTGTGTTCAAATCCAAAGTTGATTATTGATTTGAGTATTACATTTCTATTTAAATGTGATTGGAAGTGACAAGTGAGTGAGAAAGAAAGACTGAAAAATCACATAAATCAACAAATACAATACATAAATAATTGATGTGCAAATGTGCAATCCCATTGGTTTTTTTTTTTCTTTTGTAACATAAATAGAAGCACCAACCAAGTAAGCTTAGTGGCGTACGATTGATATTTTTCTTATTTGGGTTATTTGCAGGTTTTGTTTGAGTTAATTGTTTCACCTGTCTTATCCCAATTCCCAATAAAATTAGAATGCATGTTGTGCACGCCTTAGCTTCACCTTGTTTGTTTCCAGGAAAAGAAAAATCAAAAGAATATTATTGCATGTGAGATTGTGGTTTATGTTCCCTTGTGGGTCTTATTCACTTGTGTTATCTGTATTTAGAATAGAAAACTGTGCTTTTAGTGGGAAGAGGTCAGGTGAGATGAGCAATTCAGCTATATGGTCTCAGCTCTGCAAGGGCGCACAATAGAAACAGAGTCTCACCCATCAAATTTTCGGTGGGATTTTGATTTCTTCCATGCTTTTTCAGATTTATTTATTTCTTTTTGTTAATATCTGATTTTCTCCCAAATTCACTTTCTAGGTGAGTTGGGCAAGAAGGTCTCAGCTTCCTGAGCCAGGGCTCATATATTTTATATTATATATTTAACCCCATTCATAGTATTTTTTGGTTAATATTTTGGAAGAATTTTGATACTTTGAATTATATTTCCAACATAGGACTTTCGACTTCCTCTGGAGCAAAACATAATTAAATGGACGAATTTTGGAGTAATTCAAATTGGAGGACATTCGTGAGTCACTTAGCTTGATCGTATCAAAATATCATATTCGTCAACCAAGCGGTTACTTTATGGCAATAAAATAAAAGAGCAGTGCGCGATGCTGGAACAGTGACGTTTGGGCTTTTATTGCGTTTTGGAGCCCGAAATGACTTTGGATGGGTTCGTGGCCTTCTGGAAAAGTGTTCAAAACGTTTTTATCTTTAAAACAAGCTATCTTGGGCTGGATTTGGAGGAGATTTGAGGCCAAAACGTGGGTGGGCAGATTGTGGGCAAATTCTCCTAATCCAATTTGGACTTTATATCCTAGTATTATCTTATTTTAGCCTAGTTTCCTTGTGGGGATTGGGCAGCTGGGTTTTAGGAGGTATTTAAGTTCTTTTTCACAACAATTTTGGGACTTCGTTTTGGCTTTTGAACGTGACATTGTGGAGAGCAATTGCAACGGTTTTGGAGTATTTGCGATTTTAAGGTGTTTTCATTCTTTTTCTTCTTAATAATATTTTCCATGATTTCAGTTATGAATATGCGTAACTAATTTTTCTTTTGCTAGGGTGAAGCCTTGAGCCTTAGCATGAATATGTAATTTTTATTTAATTGCTTCTGATTGATTGCATGCATATTTTGAATTGTTAATCACTGTTTTAAACTATCTAATTGTCTTCATGCCTGATTACCATTAGGATCTTTAGAAAAGTAATTGGATGCAATTTTGGTCGGAAGGTTCCCTGTTAGGTGATGGTGAAACTCTAGTGCTTTTATAAATTGGATTATAAAACTCTTTTCTTTGATCATATTTGTTTTTAATCAACATTTATAGTTTTTAGACAATTTCAGAATCATCCTTCTCAGCCAATAATTTCAAGTAGTTAATTAGATATTGTTTTTACATTAATTACTAAATAGTCCTTGAGGAGAACGACCTTGCATGAGCATCTATACTACAATAGCCTTGTATTCTTGCAAGTATTTTATGTGATTTTAACATGATTTACATGGATGGTACAAATCATATCAGCTCACTCACACCACAAGGTACAGAGCCAAACCCACTTCTTTTCAACTTTTTTCAAGTGGGTTTATTGATTTCTTTCTATTTTTCTTTTCAATTCATGCTAGTTGTGTTGCTCTGCTATAGTTTTCTGAAATTCTGATTTGTATGCAATTGCCACTTTCTACTAGGGCTGCACACGGGTCGAGTTGAGCCAATATAAGCATATCGGCATGCCCAAATGGTTAACCGTGCACCTATATATTAGGCCCATTTTCAACTTAAATTGAAACCCGAATTAGAAGGGTCAGGTTGGTTCGGTTCGGATGTATGCCGAGGCCCAATAAAAGCAACAATTGAAGGTGTTTTTTTTTAAAAGTTTTCCAGGCCCATCCTTTTTTTAAAAGTTTTCCAAGCCTATTTTATTTTTCCAGTTTCTCATATCTAAGAGCAAGTCCAGCAGCCCGTTTTGGACTCGAGCTGGGGGGGTTTTGGAAGAAAAACGGACTCCAGCAGCTGAGGCTAGCCCGGGTTGCATGTGGGGGCCACGAAGACGGGCTGGCCCAAGGGCAGGTCCAGACTCAGATCCAAAATGCGGGCGGGTTGACGTCAGCCCTACACTGCACCAAAGGCTTTGGGCTACATGTCGTCACCTGAGCGCTCCGATCGTGATTTCCCCTTCAATCCAACAGCAGCCAATATTTTTGCAATAAAAAGATGAAAAAAAATTCCGAAAAAATACCAAAAAATACTGGAATTTTTTTCTATAAATACATACCAATACTCTTCACTTTCAACACCAAATCCTCATACATTTTCTTCTACTTCTACTATTATTCACTTTCAAGTTTTATTTTTCCATATCATCTTTATGGCTTCTTCTATCGACGGTGTTGGGGCATGGAGCACCATGGAAAATGTTTTGTTGTGTGAGTGTTAGGTCCAAATTTCTCATTGTCCCATCTCGGGCAACGAGATAAAATTCTGTCATATGTGGAAAAAAAATTCATTCCGAATTTTGTGGAAGATTGAATTCGAACCGTATGGAAATGACATTGTCTAGTAGGTGGAAAATTCTCAATAAAGAGTTGGGGAAATGAAGAGATGCCTTGACAACAGCGATGGACAACCGTAGAAGCGGGGAAAATCTTAGCGATGAAGTAAATTATTTGTAATTTTTGTTTTATTATTTTTAATGTTATGAAACGAAGACTTTTTTTGACAATGGACCTAGCAACACGAATTTGTTAAATGATAAAAACCATTAAGTTAGTTTGCTTGCCTTTTATTTTCATTGTATTTTAATGTTTTATTTTGAAAATTAGTTGTAATTCATGCTTTCAATAAAATACCTTTTTATTCAAAAACTTTCCATACATAAAAAAACAAACCACATCCAAAGCATTAAAAATAAACAAACCACAACCAAAGCATTAAACAGAGAAAGCATAACAAAAAATAAAACATAAACATAATAAATAAAACAAACTTCTTCACTTCACTTCATTCACCGTCATTGCCTTTCCCCGCCCATAAATGCTCTATCAAGTCAACTTGACGTCGTTCATGAATATAAGACGATTGCATCTCCATATATCGATCAATCATACGAGTCATTACACGATCGTTCTTAACCAATGGTTCATGCTGCACTGGTTCTCCATTTGGCCCCATGGGTTTTTCATAAATTCGTGTCAAGGCCGTGTTCATTGGATCCGGTTCGTACACGTCTTCAGAATTGTAATCATACTCATCCTCCACAATCATGTTATGAAGGATAATGCATGTCATCATTATGCTCCTCAGCACCTCCTCATCAAACATACGTGCCGCACCCCTAATAATAGCCCACCGGGCTTGGAGGATACCAAAGCATCTCTCCACATCTTTTCTGTACCCCTCTTGATAGGTAGCAAATAATTTTTGCTCCTGGGATCGGGGATGCGGAATTGATTTCACAAATGTGGTCCACCTCGGATAGATGTCATCAGCTAGATAATACCCATTTTGGTAGACGATATTGTTGATTTGATAGGTGATATTTGGGGCTTCACCTCTCAAAACTTCATTGAACACCGGGGATTGACCTAGGACGTTCAAGTCGTTTTGAGATCCGGCAAATCCGAAGAAAGCATGCCAAACCCACGTATCAAAACCTGCAACGGCTTCAAGGATGATGCTTTTTTGGGCTTTCCGATTCCCATAATCTCCTTGCCAAGCGATCGGGCAATTCTTCCACTGCCAGTGCATACAATCGATGCTACCAACCATTCCTGGAAATCCTCGAGCTTCAGCTTTTTGTAGAAGCCGTTGGAGGTCCCTAGGCGTAGGTCTGCGCAAGTAGTCCCTACTATATAGAGTTTCGACTGCATCACAAAATCTCACCAAGCTCTCCAAAGTAGTGGACTTCCTCATCCGGGCAATCTCATCCACCTGATCAGCATATGACCCATACGCCAACATTCATATAACAGCTGTGAACTTTTGCTCGGGAAGCAGTCCCAAATTTCCAGCAGCATTTCTCTTTTGAACAAAATATTCATCATAATTACAAATATCATGCATGACTTTATTGAACAAATGAGGTTGCATTCTATATCTCCTTCGAAAATCAACATCAGAGTACAGAGAAGTATGACCCATACGCCAACATTCGTATAACAGCTGTGAACTTTTGCTCGGGAAGCAGTCCCAAATTTCCAGTAGCATTTCTCTTTTGAACAAAATATTCATCATAATTGCAAATATCATGCATGACTTTATTGAACAAATGAGATTGCATTCTATATCTCCTTCGAAAATCAACATCAGAGTACAGAGAAGTTGGGATAAAATAATCTTCCAGAAGATTCTTACCCCGAGAATGTCTATGTCTGTCAACATTCGAGTCACGACCTTCTCGTGAACTACGGCATCTCTGGTTTTCTTCATCAAGCATAGCCACTGCTGTGACAATTTGCATATCCAGTTCTATCTGCGCCCTTTTGCCTGAAGCTTGTCTATGCCTTCTTTCTCTAAATTCTCGCATTTGCCTCTCTAAGACCTCGTTCATGTCTGCCATTGAGAATGGAGTACAAATTCTAAAATCTGAAAAATAAAAATAAAAAGAAGATATGGTGTGAGAGGTATGAGCTGAGAATTTGATTTTATAGAAAATTTTAGTCGAAAAAGATAACACGTGACACAATTTTAGAGAGAAAATTTTATCTGAAATTTGAAATTCAGATGAAATTTGTATGAAATTTGAAATTCATATAAAATTTATCTGATATTTGAAATTCAGATGAAATTTCATTGAAATTTAAAATTTGAAACCGAAAATCTTATCCGAAAATTTTATCCGATTATAAGATATGAATAGTATTGATACGTAGGAACCCAAAAATCTTATTTGAAAATATTATCCAAATTAATTATTTAGGTAAACAAATTTGTGAAAAAAATGAATAGCATTTACCCTTTGCTATGACAATTGCTGGAAAGTAACATTGCTTTTTGCAAGGGCAGCCACTATTCACATGACAAGGGGCAACTGCTGAAACTGCTCTAAAGTTTATCATCATTCAAATACTTAAAAAACCCTTAAAACCTAAGAAAATCATCATCCACCACACATGCCCAAATAATCTAATAATTATTAGATACCAATGCAAATTGTGAGAGTAATCTCAATCACAATCTGCATATTTGGCATATTTGCAAAGTTCAAAAGAAAATCCAAATGAAAACAAATAAATTTTCATTACATATACATATACAATTCCATGCGTTTCCTACTCCTCAAATCAAATTTGCACCTCTGCAAAAAAAAAAAAAAAAAAAAGTTAGCCATTACATATATTCTCTACCAATCAAGTATGCTGCAAAATTTCAACTCAACAGAATCGAGATACGAATCCCATATCAATTCTGCTACTTTCAAAAACTGACAAAATATCCATTAATCCCCACCCCCTCAACTTCACAAAAATACCAAGCGCAGATCCATAAAATCCAAAATTTCACAACATATAATAAATACAAATTACAATTGGATGATCACTGAGGAGCTACCAGTCACAAAATACAAGCAAATCGGCAGAAAACCAACAAAATAAGCAACAGACAAATCAGGTGCCCAGAATTTTTCCAGAAAATCTCAACCAGAAAGAAAAATACCCAGAAAATTTCAAAAAATTTCAAGCTTTCATTGAATTTGAAGAACAATAAAATGAAAAAACATAACCATTAAATACAAATAAAAAATTAAAAAAATTACCAGCTTTCATGCAGCTTGGGATGGGATTGAGAAAGGGAAACGGTGTGATGGGAATCTGTGGCTTCGATTTGGAGAAGAAAAGTGCACGACAGGTCAAAGAAAGCAGATTTTGGTAAAGGTTGGGAAGTGAGAGAGAGAGAGATTTTAGAGAGGGAGAGAAAAGTAGAGAAAAGATGTTTAGGAATATTAGAAATGGCCCATCTTTAAAAAAGCAACCACAAATAACAAATAAATCAAACATCAACAAAAACAGAAATTAAATGAAACAAAAAATCAAACAGCAACACCAGAAATAAATGAAACATCCACAAAAAACCCATTCTGTCCCAAAATCAATTCTATGATCCTAGATATTACCAGAAATTACAACAACAACACCAGAAATAAATGATAAATCAAACAGCAACAACAGAAGAAATTACCTAGAGCAAGACAATCGTTTCCTATGATCAGATGTTTAGGAATATTAGAAATGGCCCATCTTTAAAAAAGCAACCACAAATAACAAATAAATCAAACATCAACAAAAACAGAAATTAAATGAAACAAAAAATCAAACAGCAACACCAGAAATAAATGAAACATCCACAAAAAACCCATTCTGTCCCAAAATCAATTCTATGATCCTAGATATTACCAGAAATTACAACAACAACACCAGAAATAAATGATAAATCAAACAGCAACAACAGAAGAAATTACCTAGAGCAAGACAATCGTTTCCTATGATCCCAAAATCAATTCTATCCACAACAAATCACAACAGAGTCAGATCAGATAAAAAGAATTAACAAAAATTGTCAAATCCCTAACTTTTTTAATTAGTGTTTACACATATTCATACCTCAAACCGACAAAAATCGAGACAGGGAGACTGAGAATGACTGAGAGAGAGCGAGAGAGACTGAGAGAGAGCGGCTGACAGAGAACGAGAGTGGCTGAGAGAGAACCATGTAGAAATTGGCTGAGGGAGACGAGAGTCAGAGCAAGTGTGAGAGAGAGAGAGTGACTGAGAGACTGAGTGACTGAGAGATCGGGTGAGAAAATCTGGAAAAAAAAGAGGAACTTGAGTCACTGAGAGAGGCAGAGGCGAGAGAGTCGAGTGATGAGAGAGAGCGGGTGAGAGAGAAAGTGAGAGATCGGCTGAGAAAATTTGGAAAAAAAAAGAGGCAGAGCCGACTCAGGCGAGAGTGATTGAGAGAGGCAGAGGCGAGAGAGTGTCGGGTGACAGAGGGAAAAGAAAGAGGCACAATGAGAAAACATTTCGAAGCCCTTCAAATGTTAGGGTTTCGCATAATCTGGTTTAGGAAGTAGTGCGATACGCCAATGAATCCACTAATCATCCGCTGACACGTGTATTATTTGTTTAATTAATAATATAATTAAAATACTCGGTCCAGTTTGGTTTTTAGCAGTTTAAAGTAAAAAAAACCGGTCCAACCCGGTTCAGACCACCTAAAACGGTCCGATTAGGCAGTTCGGTCGGGTTTTGGGTAATAATGCCCACCCCTACTTTCTATGTTCAGAGATATGAACACTTAGTTTTAGCTTTCCTAATATAAATACTTTGATTTGGGTACATTGAATAAAATTACATGTAACTTCAAAATAGGGTAAATTATCATTTGATTTGAGGGATTAAATCTGAGCAGATTCAATTAAGCAAGTTACCTAATCTAGAAAGATTATATCATGTTGTACCACTTACCAAAAACGAATATTATCAGTTGATTCTTATCTATATATATTCTATGACTGTTACTAACATGATATGGTACTATTTTCTCCCAGAAATGATTGTACCAGTAGCAGTAGCTTTGACAGTGGGTCTTCTAGGGTGGGCTTATCAAGCACTAAAGCCTCCCCCTCCGAAAATATGCGGATCGCCTGGTGGTCCTCCTGTTACTTCACCAAGAGTGAAGCTCAGTGATGGTAGGCATTTGGCCTACAGGGAGTTCGGAGTTCCAAAAGAAGAGGCAAAACACAAGATCATTGTTGTTCATGGCTTTGGAAGTTCCAAAGATTTGAGTTTACCTGTTTCTCGAGTATTTTTTCAACTCTTCTTTTAAATCCTGCATGCCTTGTCATAACTTATTCCAGTATTGGGAGGGATATGCTGCAACACTGAGTTGATATGCTGGTCATGAATGCCTTCTATACGCTTTTGATTGATCATGCGTAATTAATTGATAATTGATAGTACTAGACATGAATGCTAATATGCAACTTCTCCCTGGTCTTTCTATTATCCCAATTTGGGAGATGTTTCATATCTAAATGTTTACATTCTAGTGTACATTGCACCGTTAGTGTGTTGGAAAAATGGCTCACATTAAGGTTGCAAGTGAAGAAGGAGGCGACCGGTCGCAAGGTTTGGGCGACCGGTAGTTTTGAAGCAGAGTCGAAGTTTGGAGAAAACGAGGCAGGCGACCGGTCGCAAGGTGCAAGCGACTGGTCGCTTTTAGGCAGAGTGTAAAGCGACCGGTCGCCAATGTTGCTGCTTCGTTTTTCCACGCGTTTTTCAAGGTTCTCTTCACATGTGCTTGTTCCCTACCTAATCTCTCAGGCTTCCAAAGAGTTTTATGGGTCTAGGAAGTCTAGCAAGGTTCTGGAAAAGCTGGAAAGGAGTACCTACCCTATAGCTCTTAATAGGGTGACTGAAGATGCAACCACTAATAACTAGCTTTTGTTCTGCCCAAGTTGTGGTCCAAGTCTGGAAACCAAGGGGAGAGCGTGGGAGAAAAGGATGGAGCTTTCTCCTAGGTCTAAAGGCTTGTGTATTAAAGGGAAGAGGAAGCAAGACATCAAGTTGAGTGGTTAATCTCAAGGGGTGGTCAAGTAGCTGGGAGCTAGTGTGTCCACAAGAGGTTAAACTCACCAAGGGAGGAATAGAGAGAGTGCAATCAGTTCAAGATAGGAGCTGAGTTGGGTCTTGAGAGTCTAGACACCAAGGAGGGAAACACCAAGTATGAAAGAGTGTTCACAAGTGCATCAAAGTGTTGAGAAAGGGGTGAGAAAGAAAAGAGAGCTTGGGAGAGAATAGAGTTCTAAGGAGGTTTCTGTGTAAACCAAAGTTGTAACTTATTCTTTCATTAGTGAATTTCTCAAGGAGATCACCAAGAGGATGTAGGCAATTGTTGAACCTCTAAAATACTTGTGTCATTTGGTGCTTGGTTGGTTTCTCAAGTGTGTGTGTGTGATTCATCCATAATTGTGTGTGTCACAAAGTCCATCAACAACAAGATCATTAGGGGAGTGTGTGAAAGTCTTGTCCATTTTCACAACATAGTGTATCTCTCTCTCTCTCTCATCCCCTCTTTGATATCAGGAACTTGTAGAGGAGTTGAGCATATATTTCCTGTCCTTCGACAGAGCAGGCTATGGGGACAGTGATCCATATCCCTCGCGTTCTGTGAAGAGCGAAGCATTCGATATTCAAGAGCTAGCTGACAAGTTGCAGATTGGGTCTAAGTTTTATGTAATCGGAATCTCAATGGGAGCTTACCCTGTTTGGGGTTGCTTGAAATACATACCACACAGGCATCACAACTACCCACCTACCAGTTTTTCCTATTTTCTCCTTTCAATAAAGTTTTTGCTGAACCTTTATTGTTTATATTGAGAAAGCTTGCATCTTATGTTATCGATGCATCATTTGCAGATTGTCTGGAGCTTCCCTGGTAGTTCCTTTTGTGCACTACTGGTGGCCTTGTGTTCCTGCTAATCTATCAAGTGAGAGCCTCAGCAGTCTCCCTTTATCAGATCAATGGGCGTTCCGAGTTGCACATTACGCCCCTTGGTTATTCCATTGGTGGATGACTCAGAAATTTTTCCCTTCACTAAGTTTCTTGTCTGGAAATAACTCAGTTTTCAGCCGTTCAGATTTAGAGATGCTGCAGAAACTCTCAGAAGCACCAAGTGTTGGTCAGGTATACTCAAATTTTCTCCTTATTTCCCCCACAGTACCAAATCGGCCGTTTTCTTTTCGCTTCTTGCAATTGCATTTGGAGGTTTGGAATATTTTAAATATCAAATTTGTTGTTTTAGGACTGTTTAAGCTTAAGTGGAATGTGAGTCAACAATTGCTTTATATAACAACACATCATACCTCACATACTTACATTTCTGGATCTGAATTCATAGCTTATGAGGTTAAATTACCTGTGGGAGGATATGGTCTGTTTTGGGTACTTTGTTTTGGTAGTGGATCAAATAATATGAACAAAAATATTCTGCTGCAGGATTTACTAGTTTGACTCAATTTTGAAAACATGTTTTCTGTTAATTTTATAGTTTTGAAACTAGAATTCAAAGGAGGCATGGGATGTGCTAATCCTTACGTAACCATCGGTGTCTTTTGCGTATGTTTATAAATTCAGGAAAAGATAACACAGCAAGGAGACCACGAATCTCGGTTCCGAGACATTCTGGCTGGCTATGCAAAATGGGAATTCGACCCATCGGACCTGAAAAATCCATTCCCTGACAATGAGGGCTCAGTTCACATTTGGCGAGGGGGTGAAGACAAGATCATTCCTTATAAACTAAACCACTATATTGCAGAGAAGCTTCCCTGGATTCATTATCATGTAGTTCCTGATTATGGCCATTTGCTTTTTTTTGAGGGTCATCTATATGAAGCTATTTTAAAAGCACTTTTGCTTGGAGAATAAGCTCCTATGTTGATAGCAGGCCTAATATCTATATGACCCTATTTGAAGACAACTGCCTAACTGTGGCAAATCCAACCCTTTATTAGCTCCTGTGACCACTGCATACCTTGACAAAAAGAATAAGAAAAAGGTGTTATATATTGTTTGTGCTAAAATATGAGAAGCTAGAATATGAGAATATGGGAGAAATATGAGAATGAGAGAAGATAATTTTTCTGGTTTTTCAACTTGATTGATTCTATTACTTACAACATATTTATACAAGTCCTACAACTACAAACAAGAAAACAAGGTTTCCATGAAACGAGGAAACAATGTTCCCATAAAACATGGAAATAATGTTCCAATAAAACAAGGGAACATAGCTTTAGCTAACAGTTTGTGGCCAAGGGGTTGTGTATATATGAATCTTAAAAACAACAGGGAAGCAGTTTGGTAATACCTCTAGCTCTTTGCTGCTTCTGCCATTGTTGATAGGCTTTTTAGCTCTCTTTTCTGATATTCAAATACAATGTACATTGTTTTTATGGTCATTTTCTATTTGTATTATTTCTTTCTAAGTATTCAACGATTTGTTTTTGGTTGCTTAATTTTGTCTTCTTTGTCTGTTCTTTCTTACTTATTTTTACTAAACAAGGCATGATACATGAATAGTCTACTGCCATATTTGCCACCTTGTAGTTTGTGTCTCGCTCAGTCAGGAGGACCAACCTCAACTCTTAGTCCAAGCTAAGTTAGAAAGTCCAACAAAAGTCAACCTTTGTTGTGGTCAATGTGTCAATATTACATTGAGATTTCAAAAGATAGTCTTGTACGATTGAATATTACAAGAACTAGAAAAAGGGTCTTTCACTCTGTTACACTCAAAAGGGTGTGACATCTTGTGAAAGAAAGAAGAGACCAGAAGGACTACGATTTCGAAACACTGCTAACCCCACAGCAATTTCAGCGGCTCCATCAATGGTGAAGATGCCAGCATTGAAGTGTAAGAATATTTTATAAATATTCTGTGTGACCCACATGAAATGACCTATGTGGTAAATAAATTGTTTAATTGGTTTAATAAATATTTTTTCAGAATAATTATATTGATCAAATAAAGAGAAGTAGTTTCCTTTTTTATTACTGTGATGGGTGGTAATTAATTATGGGCTTTACTAGGAAACGGGTCCTCTCTCTGCTTCTAATAGTGCACATACCCATCTTATGTGTACACTGATGAAAGCATGTATTATGGTTTTCTAACGTGCAAAAGACTAGAGAGAGAAATCACTCAAAATAATTAGGGTTTAAACTGATATGTTTATTCTTCTCTCAAGAAGGAATATATATACTACATACAGAGTGGGTACAAATAGGAAATATGTACAAAATTCTTAATTCTACTCAAAATAGATAATTACAATAAAATATAAATTCTATTCATAATAGGAACATTGACTCACGCCAACACTCCCCCTCAAGTTGGTGCATAGATATCAGTAATGCCCAACTTGTCAAGTGAGTCTTCAAATCGGCGCTTTGACACAGCATGGGTCAACATATCTGCAAGCTGCTCTGAAGAAGGCACAAAAGGTATAGAAATTAACTTATGCTCCAGCTTCTCCTTAATGAAATGCCGATCAACTTCTACATGCTTAGTTCGATCATGTTGCACCGGATTGTTAGCAATTTCAAATGCAAACTGATTACCACAGTAGAGCTTTGTAGCAGCATTCGGTCTAAACCCAATTTCAGCAAGTAACCACCTCAACCACAATATTTCACAAACCCCTTAGGCAATCCCTCTGTACTCAGACTCTGTAGAGGACCGAGACACAACGTTTTGCTTCTTGCTACGCCACGTAACTAGGTTACTGTTGCGTAGATACAGCTGCACCAAAATGGATTCAGTTGCATCCTCAACTTGTGATACTCGCAAGTGCACGAGCCGTTCGGTAGTATAATCCAAGTGGCCATTTTTCTTAAATAATAAACCTCTCCCAGGAGCAGACTTTAAGTAACTCTGAATACGCATCACAGCAGCCATATGGTCCTCACTAGGTGAATGCATAAATTGGCTAGCAACGCTTATCGCATAGGCAATATTAGGGCGTGTCAATGATAAATAAATCAATCTTCCCACTAACCTTTGGTATCTTTCTTTGTTAGTTGGAACCTGATCAACATAAACACCAAGTTTATGATTCTCAACAATAGGTGTATCAGCTGGTTTACAGTCAAACATTCCAGTATCTGCTAGCAGGTCCATGACATACTTCCTTTGTGAAAGAAATCAGCCATGTTTAGATCGAGTGACTGTATTCATCTTAGCCACAGGTGCAAAAGTATCATGATAATCAACTCCATATGTCTGAGTAAACCCTTTAGCTACTAATCTTGCCTTGTACCTCTCCACAGTACCATCTGCATTATATTTAACTGTAAACACCCATCTGCATCCTACAGGCTTTATTCCTTTTGGTAGATCAACAATGTCCCATGTATTATTTTTCTGCAGCGCCTCCATTTCAATATTCATGGCTTCAGCCCACTTTGGATCATTAAATGCCTCCTCAACACGGGTTGGAATTTTAATACTATCCATTCTGGTCACAAAAACTTTGCACTCAAGAGATAACCTGTGATCAGACACATAATGGGCAATAGCATATCTTGCTTTGCCTTCTGGTGAGTAACGATCAGGTGGAACCCCACGGTTCCTTCTAGGCGGTAAAACATAAGAATTATCATCAATATGAATAGAAGCACTTACCTCAGGAATATCCAGGGGAGCTTGATCGGGTACTATTAGAGAAGCTTCATGGGGGGCATTAGTTAAAATAGCAGGTTAAGCTGGTTCAACAGGTTCGGTCGGTTCTTCCCTTTGTATCAAAAAACTATCAAATACTACTCCTCCTTGTAAATCTAGCCAGTTATGTCCTTCACTACTAGTCTCCCCCTGAAGGACATGCTCGGGTGTATCAGAGAAAAACATTTCATCCTCAACAAAGGTAACATCCACAGAGACATATAGACGTCGGGTTGCAGGATGATAGCATCGGTAACCTTTCTGATGAGGAGAAAAACCCAGAAAGACACAGCGGAGAGCACAGGGGTCTAGCTTACTCCTCTGATTCTTATGGAGGTGAACATAGGCAACACAACCAAACACCTTTGGAGACAGAGTCAACATAGAAGAGGCAGAGATATGATGGGTCAGTACCTGCATAGGAGTTTGGAAATCCAAAACTCGTGAAGGGAGACGATTCAAGAGATAAACTGCATAGGTAACAGCATCCATCCAGAACCGCTTTGGAACTGACGCACCAAGCAGCAGAGCACGGGCAACAGCAAGGATCTGCCCATTTTTACGTTCAACAACCCCATTCTATTGTGGTGTT